TTTATTTATTTTATTTAATTTTATTTAAAATTTAATTTTATATTTTAAATAGTTGTACAATTTATATTTATTATTTTAGTACCCAATTATTACACTAAATATTTTTATTATGATTAATTTTAATATAATAAGTACACAATATATTTTTTAAATTGGAAATATCAAATTGATTTTTAAAGGGTATATTAGTACTTTTATACTTTTTTATTCCGATTCTGGGTGTAAGTAAACGTATGAATGAGATTTAGAATGACTCCGATTCCGAATCCTATCACTAAGTAAACAGCTTATTCTGACTCCAATTCCTCACTCAGAATCCTACCCACTCTGAATCTTGCTCACTCCGATTCATGCTCATTCCGATTATGTGTAGGTAAACATGCCATTAAAGCATTTAGAGAGATTGTTTTTACACCAAATATTTGACTAACAAATATTCCATATTAATTAGTCAAGAGTAATAATACAATTTCCGTGGATAAGCCAAGAAAGAAGACGAGCTTATATATTGGGTTCAGCATTTAAGTTAGCATCGTTGGTTATATAAATAGTCATTAATGTCGTTTGGAAAATTATGTCGTTTTATGATGATGCAGTCGTTTGTTATATTGACGACGCTTGCTGGTTCTTCATTTCCAAGTTTTTTGTTTATTGTTTTTTTTGCTTTTTCCACCCAAAAAATTTATTATTTCTTTAACTATCGATCGTGTCATTTTTTTAGATCTTACTATCCTTTTTAATGTTAATGTCGTTTTTTTACTGTGGTAATTTTTGATACTGATGTCGGTGGATTATTATTGATTTTAAAAAAATAATAATAATTTACAAGTTGTTGAAAAATTAAACCCTATATTTTGGACTGTTTCACATGATCTATATTTTGAAATTGAAAATTTATGGTCAACAATCTTTTTCTCTTTTCATCAAAGGTCGAATTTGAAAAAAAAAAAGAAAAAGAATAAATATAATTAAAGAAAAAAAAAAGTTCAAAACGGGTTTCTCGGTGGATTGCTTGGACCTAGAAGTGATGAAATTCTTTTTCCGTTATTTCCTTAAGACATTTGTGGTCAAAATACCGGAGAAAAGTTTATGATTGAGCATAACTTTTTAATCTAAAGAAAAAGAATAAATATAATTAAAGAAAAAAAAAAGTTCAAAACGGGTTTCTCGGTGGATTGCTTGGACCTAGAAGTGATGAAATTCTTTTTCCGTTATTTCCTTAAGACATTTGTGGTCAAAATACCGGAGAAAAGTTTATGATTGAGCATAACTTTTTAATCTAAATTATAAAAAATACAACAATCGAAAACTTATAAAACTTATAGTGTCTTTTTAGTTTATATTAAAAAAAAAGACAACATTGAGAATATATTGTTACATTTTGTCTCTCTAATTTTAAAAATTATACTATACTACGTTTATTATATTCTACTTTGCCCCTTCCGTTTCATCTCCCATCCGAAAGAGATGGAAAAACACCCGAAGTGCTCATGTGTGGAATTTTTTGAGGGTAATCGTATTTTCTTAACAGTAATGCCCTAATAATCAAATTAAATAGTACATTGACATGTTCATTGACTTTGAGTTGGGGGATGTTTTTCAAAAAGATACAAGTTTGAAATTTCTCAAGGAAAAAAGCCCTCATCAACTGGAGAAGAAGCATTTTTACTTAGATGCAATTCACATTAGCTTCCATCTTCTTGTTTTTAGGGAGTGTTTTCCCTAATTTTTTTTTAGATTAAAAATATGGTTATGTTTGAAACCTAACTTGAAAAGCCAATTTATAGACAAATTTACAATTTTACCCTCTTCTCACATGACCGCATGTGGTGTTATTTTTTATTTTTTTGGTTTTCTTTAAACAGGAAATTAAATAGAAGGGACAAAATGAAATAAAATGAAAGTTTGAAATAGTATAGTAGATTTAAACTTTTTTTGGTTTTCTTTAAACAGGAAATTAAATAGAAGGGACAAAATGAAAGTTTGAAATAGTATAGTAGATTTAAACTTTAAGGAGTAAATTGAGAATAACCTCAAAATTAAGGGGAATTTGTTAATAATCCACAAAAAGGTGTAAACATTGAATATCGGGACAATATATCAATTAAGAATACTTGATACTTCTTTGACAAAATGACCATTTAAATAAGCATACACATCTTTAATCATCACTAATCACTATATAGAACCATCAATTTGTTGCTTGCCAAGTTTTCAAAAACACTACACAAACTTATAAAACAACAACTACCTTTCATCTCCCAAACAAAATAATAAATAATAATAATGGGAATAAAATTAAACTCTTTAATTTCCCTTTTCAAACTCAAGTTCTTAACCATATTAATAATAGAAAGGAAACAAATCAAAAATCATTTCTCACCAAAAACCATCCCCACGGCCACCTTTTCAAAAGCAGGCCTAGAAGAGATGTCCTCCCACCAAGCCTTAACGTGGGGACGATCGTTGAGGATCGAAGCCCACGGAGTCTTCATGAAGTAGAAAGTGTAAGGCAAGTGGTGGAGATCAGCCAAGCTGAAGAAATCGCCGGCAAGGTATTTGGTGTTGCTCAGCCTGGTCTCGTACACGTCCAGCACCTTCCCTAGCTTCTCTAGATTTTCATCGATCACAGTTTGATCTGAGGTTTTGCCGATCATGGGGGCCACAAAATGCTGGTGCACAATCTGAGATACCACGGGGTCGTATTCATGTGATTCAACCTCCGACCAGACCTTCACCATCGCAGATTCGTTCAAGCTTTCGTGCCTAATCAGGTCGTTTCTTGAATCCTTGTACTTCTCAGCCAGATATGCAGTTATTGCTCTGGATTCTGGCAATAAATATTAAATAAATAAGTAATGGAAAATGGTTTAATTCCTTCTATAAATATATTGTTCAAAATAATTTTCATTTATGGACAAAAAATGCTTAGGAGCACGGCCGGTTCTGAGCGCCATAACTGATAGAAAATAGACGCTATTAGTGGATTTTATGAAGCGAAATCCGCGTTTAGTTAGTGCGTGGTGCTAAGAAGCACATGTTCCCCTAGCATTATAATTAGGTTGGAAATGTAATTACCGAAAAGTGTGAGGTCTCCGTCTTCTAGTACTGGAACCTGACCAAAGGGCTACATATACATTTGGAAAGAGAATGTGAGATTAGTAATAATGGATTTTTGGTATGTAAAGATGAACAACTAGTACTATTCAAAAAGCATAGCAGTTCAAGATATTATACGAAAGTAATGTAGCCAAAAAAGTGGATTTGATATTGGATTAATAGCAATTAACGAAAGTGTAAAGTTTTGAGGAGATTTACATTTTTTGCAAGGAAAAGAGGCTGCTTGTTTTCGCGGGCGAAAAGGTCGACCGGGACGAGCTCGAAATCAAGACCTTTTTCATGGAGGCAAATCATTACACGAGTGGTGCTTGTTGACATTGGGAGACCATGCAGCTTGAGCACCATTTTTTGTCTCTGGAAAAACAAAACGAAGGAATTGAGAGAGAGAGAGAGAGAGAGAGATATGGATGAAAGTGAAATTGTTGGTGTGGACGCAGCTAGAAGTATCGTTATATATACAATTACAATCGGTTTTGGTAGTTAGGGTTGTGGGAAACAGTTTTTCAAGTAATAGATCAATATCAGTGGGATTTAATTAATATTTCACCTGTCCTGGAGTTTGTAAAAACTGAAAACTATAAGCAGCTGAAACTTGATAAGCCAAATTTTATTTTCCTCCTCTGCGTTCCCCACACCACGTGCATTTTTGTACAATTCTTTAGAAATAGACAGTGTAGTGCCGATCTCTTAAGTGACGTTTGGTTCATGAATTTCAGAGCCATAGTTCATGATTTTGAACAAAGGAGCATTAATTTATTTTTCTCGTTTTGGTCTCACACAGTCACATGCCAGAGATATGACTCAGACGGGCATTCCACATGGAGCATATTGTAAATTTGCAAGCCCTCAATAAGCTTTTTAGCTTGTAATATAAATGGAAAATCTTAGTTAGCACGCGATATGCTTTGACTTCCATTAACCATTGGCTTCATGGCAAAAACAAATAGATAGCATTTTTCACATATTGCCACTCAAATATAACAACAATATATTTACAAGATAACAAAAAAAAAAAAAAAAAACAAAAACAAAAAAAACTACTCTTAAAATGTTAGCAAGTTGGATGGACTATTTTGTACCCATCATTAAGCTAAAAGGAAGAGGGAAAAAAACCCTTGCCACATGGTCAATAAATCCAAAATTTAACGTTCATAATTTTAAGGTGTAATACTTTTGATATTCTAGAATTCTCCGTCAATTTCAATATAGTACAACAATCAGATATGATTCAGTCAAATCACAATTTTTAAGTGCACTGATTTCAAAGTGTTTCGGCATCATCTTGAGATTTGGTCATTTGTTTAAGTTCACAGAATTTTAGGTAAACAAGACTACAAATCATAGTAGAGAGCAGTTGTAATAGGTGAGTCAAAAATTAAAGCGGAATCTTTATACGATCATAACAATCAAAAGGTAAATTTAGAAGATAACAATTGCGTCCTCCATTGTCATTTTTGACCGTCAACAGTCAACAACACTTCCCATAGTGAAATTCATGATAACAGAATAGTTATTAATCGGGACTCGCATGAATAACATATATATTACAAGTACTGTTTTTTTAATCACGTATTTTTAAGTGCTTTGCCGAACATAAGCTAATTATCAAAGAATTTTCCCTCTAACTTTATTGATAACAAAGAGATAATTGAATCAGACGCAAAAGTCTTTTCGATTAGCAAAAAACAGGCCAAAATCTTTTCAAAAGATAAACTACTGAAATAATTGTACTTTTAACCGTTAAATTTTTATCAAAAACTTTCCCTTTTACATAATTTTTTAATTTAACGTGAGTTTAATTAGGAAAATCTTATAAAAAAAACCTTAAAAAAGAAAATTAGAGGCCAGAGTCTTACACCTATGCAGCATAGGAATGCTCAACATTACTGTTTTTTTTTTTTTTCTTTCTTTCTTTTCCCCGGCCCACTGAAACAACACAGTTTCTTGGTTGCGAGCATGGGGTTGCGTAAACAAATCTGCTGAATTTTCTGACAGCAAGAAATGGTAATTTTGCACCCAACGATAAAGACAAAAGTTGCTTCTGCCATAAAAGTTTCGTTCTGCACATCTCTCTGTCTGTGCATGTGTACATGAAGAACTCAACCGACAAACTTATCGACTAAAACAGGTCCGACCCCATTTAAAACTCAGATCTTAACCAAGTCTGAACAACTTAAAATGGAGGTGAATTACATTAACGATCTGAGGAATATGAATTAACCCGGCAGACAAAATGTAGAGAAGGGCTCCAAATCGCCCCATGTCATAGATATCAGAGATGTGTAATGTACCATACAATTATTGTTGTCTTTTTTCTCTCTTTTTTCCTTTTCTTTACGTGCAAGGCAGTCAAAAAAATTTCATTACACACTGTAAATGGACCTTTCCCGTTGGACATAAACAATGATAGAGAGTTCTGTATCTACAGATGGCATCCTAGTCTAGGTAACCAAGGTGGGAAAATACAAGAAAGTCAATGTGTTAAAAACGGCTATATGCATGGTTTAGGAAAAAGTTATAAGTAATAAAAAGGGGAGAAATTATATGCAGAGGCTGCAGACAAAGAATTGAAAGAATAAATTCCAAAAAAATAAAAAAAAGAATAAACATAATTTTAAGATGCTTAATCTAGATTTAGAAAGTTTTGATGTTCCAGCTGAGTCATCTCTCCACCCTTCATGGGGTCAAACAAGCACCGGTAGAAGCTGCATACAAATCCAACTTGCATATTAACAGCACGTTCCTATAATCAAGTTAATTGGAAACTTACACTCAAATTAATTGGATACTCCTAAGCAATCATAAAACAAATGATATTTTTACGTAGTTCAGCGGGTTAGAACTTAGAAGCAACACAAGGTCGGGGAAAAGGAATGTCACGTGACATGCTTTGAGCAATTTTATCAAGTAGAACTGATAATAATAAAGATAAATTTGGAGCTAGGTGAGAATTTCCCGGATTATACTTCGGTAATTCGTAGGACTCGCACGTATTTAAGCAAATAGTGAGTTGCTTAAATAAAATTAAACAGTGAGCAAAGAATATTGAATAAAAACTGTGAAATTAAGATTGGATTTGGTCATGCATTATCATCTTTACCTGCCATTCATTCCAAGAATTATAATCGTGTTTCTCACGTGACCAAAAGCAACAATAAATCGAGAATCCTCTCTCAAGCGAAACCGAGCCACTGACCACTCTGAGCTGAAATGCTTGGGCAGAACTCCTGAAATTAAGAAGACATGCATTAGAGGTACGTAAAATAAGGTAAGAAACAAATCAGAGTAAAGTTTTGAGGGTGAGCAGAGATTTTTAACTTTTCATTTAGTCAAAACTTGCAACTAAAAGCAACTACATCTAACCATGTGTGCAAATAATATATTCTAATAGGTAGATCAAAATGACTCGCCTAGACCTCACTGAACTCCATTCAAGTGCGAACTGTTTTGGCCATTCAGAACTTATCCACGCGAGAGAGATTTAAATTCATTACAAATCTTCACTTGGAAGTTGGAAAATTTGCACATCATAAATTCTATTATGCAAACACAACAACTTCATTTACTCCTGTATTTTTACATTTATACGGAGAGTCAAAAGAAAGTTTTAAATACAAGCCTCTACACATGGCATTTGATGTCAATTCTTTAGGTAGCCCATCAAATTAAAAGCTAATTCTATGTAACAATATTGTGATGAATCTGAATCTGATAAATAAGACAATGTTGGAGTCAATCATAGTAGAACGACATATAAAAGCGGCAAGCGCAAAGTTAAGAGCATTCATATTCTATGGTGAAAAATAGAGAGTTTACCTTTGATGATAGATAGAGATGTAACAGCGAAAGCAAAACTGGATACACTTCGTGACTTTGCATTCTCAGGGGTCTCAGAATTAACCTTAAGGCTGAAGACATGAACAGTACCCTTGTCACTTGAGACTGCCAACCACTGGGCAGTGGAAGAAAATGCCAAACAATGGATCGCAGCTCTATCCACACCCCTCCTTACCTGATATTTCATATCAATTTAGTTTAATGAATCCAATAGAATTTAAGGGATTATCAATACTAAGCATCATTTGGGTATTGATCAGAAGGGATAAAACCTCAAATAAATGAGAAAGCAAATCCTAAGAGAGAAGGCACTTTCTGTGGTGCCCAACACTTTTTTTTTTGGGCTCCAAAACTAAGGCCATCACAATGTATTATTAGCACCAAGTTAGATAGATTTCTTAATTTTATCGAGTATTGGAGGAGTAATTCTAAGGAAACAAGTACCAAAACTTGGATTCTTCAGAAAAAAGCCAAAAACTTTAGATAACAATAGCATAATAAACAACTGCAAATACTACAAATACCAAAACTTGGATTCTTCAGGGGAAAAAAAAAAGCCAAAACTGTAGATGACAACAGCATAATAAACAACTGCAAATTCAACTATGCGTAATTGTTACCAATCACTAGTGTCCTTTTCTCAACCCTTGATCAGTATAACACCTGTGAGTCCCAGTTGGGTCCCACCACAAGTGGCCTCAAGGTGGGAACCACGCTGATGAAAGATTGTGTTTGGATGCTCAAATACTGGCGATCTCCTCTCATTCAGAGTCAGCCAGGCATTATTCTAAGAAAGAAACGCCAAAAGCATCATGAGAAAGAATAATCCCCCCCATTTGACACCAAAACAACGATTCAAAACTAGTAAACTCACGAGGCAAAATCATATTCAAGCAATTGAAAGGTTCAAGCTCTCCGAGTCTCCAAAACTGTCATATTACCTCTTGAAGTAGGGTTCCATCAGCGGTTCTGAAAATCCTAACAAGAGTCCCCTTGGTGCTGGCCGTGGCGAGGAACCGGCCGTCTTGCGTGAGCCCCAAGCAAGCGATATCTGACGCGTGAGCCTCAATGTACTTGGTCCTCCTCGCCGCGTGATGCTCAACCCTGACCTGCCCTCTCTGCAACCCCAGAAAAACGAGCACCGCCGACCACCCCCATTCCGAGACGGCACAAATCCCCTTGGGGTTTGCCGCCGTCTCGATCTCGCGCAAAATCCTAAAGTCCGAGAAGTTAAAAACCAGAGCTTTACGCTCCATCACGACGACGATTAGGTCGCGGCGGAGCCGCACTGCGAGGACAGTGGAGCGGCAGGCGAGCTCGCCGACGAAGCGGCCCTGGACGTCGCACCATAGCTTGACCTTGTTGGGAGGGGACTGAGGGTTAGGCCCGCCGCCGACCACGGCCAAGACGTTGCAACGGAAGAGGGAGCCGAGTCCCCTGCCGTCGTGGCTGTAAATCTCGGCTAAGGGATGGCAGTCGTGGCGGTAAATCTCGGCTAAGGGATGGCAGCTGAAAACGCGGAGGCCGCGGTCCGTGCATGCGGAGAAGAAGGACCGGTCGTGGCCGAAGCTGAGGTTGAGCAGAGAATAGCTATGGAGGTCAGGGTTAGGGTTGGCGTCGGGGGCGGACTTTGCGGTGGTGGATGAGATGGAATCAGAACTTCCTGAGGGATTTGTAATGGCGGAATTAGGGTTTGAAGTTGAGAGTGAAGGAGGAGAAGTGACTGCCGATAGGGCCGCCATGGGAGTGAGGAAGACGACTGGACGACTGAAACTACTATTTAGGAGCCGTTTGGTTCATAGATTAAAATTATTATCGATTTACGTGTATTTTTTTGTGAGAAAAAATATTGTAACGAATCATAAACTATGATTCAAATCATGGTTTGAATCCTCAAACCAAACATCCCCTTAGTCTTTTTGCTGTTTCCTAGAGTTGTCTCTGTAAATTTTGAAGAGACGGAGGTATTTTTGTCTTTGTGGTGAGTATTTAAATTAATTTGAATTCCGTGCGATTCATTAGCGTTATAACTTATCTTTTTTATCAAAATCAAATCAATTTTGTGTTGATTACTTCATGGAATCCCTTACTTCTTTGTTATTTAGGTTTTTTCGCACACCTTGTGGCAGGAAAAGAATCAAAAGGAACATCCAAAAAAGAGACGGAGGTATTTTTGTCTTTGTGGTGAGGATTTAAATTAATTTGAATTCCGTGCGATTCATTAGCGTTATAACTTATCTTTTTTATCAAAATCAAATCAATTTTGTGTTGATTACTTCATGGAATCCCTTACTTCTTTGTTATTTAGGTTTTTTCGCACACCTTGTGGCAGGAAAAGAATCAAAAGGAACATCCAAAAAAGAGACGGAGGTATTTTTGTCTTTGTGGTGAGGATTTAAATTAATTTGAATTCCGTGCGATTCATTAGCGTTATAACTTATCTTTTTTATCAAAATCAAATCAATTTTGTGTTGATTACTTCATGGAATCCCTTACTTCTTTGTTATTTAGGTTTTTTCGCACACCTTTTGGCAGGAAAAGAATAAAAAGGAACATCCAAAAAACAACGCCGTTGCCGGGGATCGAACCCGGGTCACCCGCGTGACAGGCGGGAATACTCACCACTATACTACAACGACTTGATGATCGCAGGTTTAAATATCACTAACTAAAACTATTCTTTTTGAACTTTAATAAAATAGAATAACTAAGTTATCAAAAAGTTTGACTAATCTTTTATTATTATTATTATTATTATTATTATTTTAAAGGGTAGTATAATTTATCTTATGTAACACTACATCCATAGAATTTTTCGGTTAATTAATTATGCATGTGGAAGTACTCAATGGAATGTTACTCTTTCAATAGGAAAAGAGCAAGGATAAAAAAAAAGAGAAGGCAGCATGTCAACGTTTACAAACATACCTACCACTACACTGATTTGTCTATATTTGTTTGTATTTCCTTAAATAAAGAGAGATCATTCTAAGCACAAAAGACAGGTTAATAGATAATTGCAACTGGTTCAATTCAATAAACAACCTACATTAAAAAAATAAAACTCATAAACAACCTCCATTTTAGTCAATCCACTCTCTAGCCACAAAAAAAGTCAATCCACCATGCTTTTGCAAAAATACATTCATTATATTCCTTATTCTTCCCCTGAAAAAAAAAAATAAAAGAATAAAATGGTGCCACCACAAATTAATTCATCATTAGAACTAGAAGGCCATATAATGCAACTTTTTTTTTTTTTTTCCTGTTTCAGTTTAAGATTTTCGTCAATACTCATTAAATACTCGTACTTCGAACCTTGAACTTATAATCACGTACAATGCAGAGAGACCTCTTATAGTTACGGACGACAACAAACATTGTTAAAGCTTATAACAATAAAACTATAAAAGCAGCTTCGGTTGCATCCGAACTGTCTTTGAGATTTCTTGGCACACATATACCACGAAACAAACCAACCAACCAACTAACAAAGTATTAACCAAAGTAAAAAAAAGTTTCTTGGATTACAAATATCCACATATTTTTCTCGAGGAAAGTAGAGGGAAATATATATCAACACTTAGACCAGAAAACCAAACAGAAAACAATCAAAAAATCAATAATCAATACCACCAGTAACTTAGACCAGAAAACCAAACAGAAAACAATCAAAAAATCAATAATCAATCCCCCCAGTCCCAGCCACTTGAGGGCCAGCATCACAGGCAGCGCCACTTACTTCTTCCTGATCAGTAGTAGTAAATCCAGCCCCAAACAAATTCTCAAGGTTAACATTACCACCAGCCCCACCATTGGCCAATATTTGAGCAAGCATAAACCCCTCAAGGACCCCACTCAGATAAGCTTCCTCTTCTGTGTTATCACTAGTATTCTGTGGCCTCACTACCGTCGGGGAAAACCCGGGTCCAAACGCCTGCTGCTGAGGATTAAAACCTCCGTTAAAAGGCGGCGCCGCATATCCCATCGGAGGCACTCCTACCGGCGGATAACCCGGCGGTGGGTAGGCGGGGGCTGCTGCCGGTTCGTTGACCTTAACCGATGAAGATGTTTCGAGGGCTTGGTTAGCGAATTTGTACGACAAGTTGAGCTGTCCTCTATGCTTGCCGTTAGGTTTTTTCAGCTGGTACGTGACGTACTTAACGAACTTGCCGTCGCCACCGTTGTCCAAGAGCTCCTTGACCGGGACGTTGGCTTCTCCGATCTCCTTGTCGCTGTGGATCCGACGATGGCACATGACCTTGAAGTTCAGGATCAGACGGTCCTTCTTGGCGTCTTCTTCATCGATGTTGAAGTTCATCGGGAAGTTCCAGGTAGGGTTCGGTCCGCTCCCTTTGTCGACTGGGGTCTTTTGCTCTATCTGAGGACCGCCGGAGAGCGAAACGAGGACGTACACGTCCATCTTGCTGAGGTGCTTCACTCTCTTCAGATCTTTGGCTGAGATTATGGTTATCTCCATCGGTCTGTATTGCATTTTTGTTCTTTCTTTATCAGCCTCAGAAGACAGAGATAATGAGATTTTATGCTCTGAAAGCTGGCTTAGTTAGTCATAGAGAGGCTACTGAGAATAAATAGCTAGATTGGAGGAAGTTCCTTTGTACTTTCGTACTTTCGGAGGAGATAAAATGTCAATGCAAACCAAGTCAACGTCATCCCTAATCCTTTAGAGAGAGAGGGAGAGAGATCAGTCGACGTGTTAACTTGACCAAGCTCTTTGACTAATTGGGGTTTTGTAATTTTTGTTTTTGTTTTTTTAATAGTGAATAAGTTATTACAACCATGTACTAAAAAAAAAAAAAAAAAAAAAAAAAAAAAAGTGGCCCCCGGGGGGGTTTAAAACACCGAGAGAGGGAGAGAGATCAGTCGACGTGTTAACTTGACCAAGCTCTTTGACTAATTGGGGTTTTGTAATTTTTGTTTTTGTTTTTTTAATAGTGAATAAGTTATTACAACCAATTACTAAAAAAAAAAAAAAAAAAAAAAACACTAACTTGGCCTCCTGGACGTGTTGAAACGGTCCATGCACGCTTTGGATGAGAGAAAAAGAAAAAGGAAACGGATGATCAATGATTGGCATAAAAGGAATATATGCTAGTTGGTAATTTATTACAATTTAAAGCCTTCTAAAATCTCGTGGAATGAGGACTTATCAAAATAAGACATTGACAATCTCAGTGAAGGTACAGTCAATTCATTTGTCAAATAAAGCTGTCAAGTAATCTTCACGAATCACAAATATTATGTATAGACCTCTTGAGTTCTTTTTATCATGGAAAGGCAAAGTAGTTTTATGAATTCAGATTAGTTTATAAACCTTCGCTTAGAGTTCAACTTGAGCTGTTTCGCTGAAAAAACAAGGACAAGTCGTCAAGTAGATGGAAATTTAAGAACCCGTTTATTTCATATACTCAAATTTAAATAATTAATTTTGTTACAATATTTTTTTCTCATAAAAAATTTAAATTTCAAACTAAAATAAAAAATTATAATTTAAATATACCTTTCAAACAGATCTTAAAGATCAACATAGATAGGAGACTATAAACAGATTTTGCATCTGTCAGGTTAGACATGGGCAGGCAGGCAAGTAAATACCTTTTTCACGTACTCTAACATCTTGTTAGCTCAAATATGATATACAATAAGTTTGTTGTTGTTCTCCAAGAAACAGAATATTGGTCAAGCAATGCCAAAATTAAACCTCCTCTGCCAAACTCGGACTTGTTAGTTGGAAGTTCGAAAAATAAGTAGCTAAAATTATGATTTTGTCATTGCCCACTTGAATCTCCTTCCTGTCCAAAATGTAAAGTTCAGACCAAACATAAGCATGAATGGACCAAAACACAAATAAGCAATAATCATACAATCAACTATTTGACGGCTTTTTTTTCAACTCCACATCATGTACGCTGAAGCAAGAAACATTCTACACTCATCGTACCATGGTGGATGAATACGAATGCAATTCCCAACTTCAAGATCTACATTGACACTGTCCACACTGTTGGGAACTCTAGGATTGAAAATAATAGTCCTCTTTGTTCCTTCACTTGCCGTTTCTTTGAGGGGTTCTGACCATGCAAGGCTCTGCAAATCCGCAACCAATCAGGCACATGAGAGAGAGCACGGTTAGTCAAAGTATATTTGGGAAAGTAAGTTATAGAACTAAATTACGAATACGACCTCAATGTTATCGCTGAAGAGACAGTCACAAACGGTCAGCTTTCCATCCAAGCATCTTGTCAGGATTTTAACATAAATGCAGTTTGGTTCATCTGAAACGGGTAACGGAAAGGGTGAAAAAAAAATCGTAACAGAATATACAATAAGGTATGGACAAAAGCTTTGCATAATTGCTCAAACAAGTAGGTTGTGCAAGTTGATTTCCTAAGCAAAAATACTACGAAGAATAAGTAAATGAAAGCAATCTAAGAACTTCACTACTTTGGTATTCTCCATTCTTTAACTTCTGCACGAAATCCATCTCTTGTTCTTTTTCTCTCTGCATGACCTGCTGCAGTTTCAAAAATAATCCACTTCTGCAGATAATAGAAAAGCACCTTTAATTTTCCTTCAAACTCGCCTTTTTTCGTTTTATTTTTAGCAAACATAAAGTGCATGTTGCAAGAGGAAAACACTAGCTACATCATTACCCTTGTGGTTTATCATTTAAGAAAGTAGCACCTAAAGCTTCCTGGAACTGGTCTACCATCGTTTGCCCTTTCTTCACAGACATGGCGATCTCTAGGTCCTTATCACTCGTCTGTTGAAGAAAATTGCTAAGATAAAATAGACAGCTCATTTTAATAAGGGGAAAAGTGTATCAAGATATCAAATCTGTAGATACCTCACTATCACTTGATGATCCGCTACTCTCTACAAGATCAGGGGAATCTTCTTTGTTTACAGTTCTATCTCCCAACATAGATATATTTCTCCTCACAACAGGCTGTAGCCTTTTTCCTATTTTACTGCTATTCTGCAACAAAAACAAGATCAAACCAGGATTGACGGTATAGTACAAAAGGCGAAAACTTTTAAAGAATGAAGCAGACCTTTTCCGAGTTTCCCCTCAGAAGACTAGCGTTATCCTGAAGGCCATATAAAAGTTCAGCCATTGATTGCTCGCTACATTTGTGCCTAAGAGCTTCCACTTCATGGGGAATAATTTCCGACATATTTTCCTCTTCAACCTGAATATCTTCAGGAAGCTCAGCGACTAAATTTTCTTCGGTTCTAAGCTCCATCACATCCAATCTTTCCGGTGCTTCAAGGATACTTGATGACAAGTTATTTTCATCTTTAGAAGTAGCAGGCGAAGATAGTCCTTTATGTGACTGGAAACGGAATGAAAATCTTGGCTTGCCTTTACCTTTTACTATAATGCAAATTCACAGAGGTCAAAACTACCAGTGGAAAATAATAAATATTTCTGCAAAGCAGAGAACGTGATAACTAATAACTAAAGAAAGAAAAGAGCACATTTAGAAGATTTCTTTGGTCTGGAATTGCATGAAGCATGTTCATTCAGATGCATCAGTGCCTCGGCCTCTTTACTCGCAGAAGACCACGAGAATAAGCTTCCCTGTTTTTCAATCCCAACGCGAAGTAAAGAATCGTCGGAGAACTTCTTGGCTCCAACCCTGGCGGAAAGCTTTGGCAGCACATTGTTTTCCTTTTCAAACAATAAAAACAAGATTACTGCCTCGTTATTATAGTAGCCTATATATTCGTCTATGGAAGTAAAACAAAGAAGCACAATATTTTTCCGTATGCAACATGTATCGTATACCTCATCTTTAGATATTGCCTTCTCTGGGGGGCATACGGAATCACCCTCGTCATAGAAGTTGGGCATCTCAACATCATCTTCACAATTCGAACTTCTTGGCTTGCCAGTACAACCAATGCCATACCATTATTTTCTCAGAACACAAAAAGGAAAAAGAAAAACCAGAACCATTATTGAGACTTGAGCAAGAGCTACCTCATGTGGCAAAATACTAGTTTTAGTTCCACTTTCAAGAGTACCTGTCCCAGAAACAATACAAATGTTCTAAGAACGTACCAAATGATAACATGAAGAGAACAAAAAAATAAAAAAATAAAACAAAAGAAACGTTGTCAAAATAGAGGGAAGTGTTAGAATATTGGTTACCTTCTAATTAGATTAAACTTTTGAAAGAAATTATAAACTAACATGATATCAGATTAGGAGATATTGAGTTCAAACCCATTGTTGGAGCTTATGCATTGCTTTTGGAAAAATGGTAAACTAATAGTTAACCAACCAAAAACATTGTTTTTATTTTTTGATCCTTACTCCATGCACATTTTTCTCAAAGAACCTTTTAATTAAGCAATACAATATTTATCTCTGGCAAATTAAAAGGGAAAGAAAAGCACGAGAACGCGTTGGATAATCCAAGCATGTAAGAAAAATCACCAGATACCTTTCAGTCGCTCTAGGCGTGATAAAATTTCTAATCCTTCCTATAGAAATAAATAAATAAATAAAGGGCTATAATTAGAATTAGACATTAGACAATGCAAGACAACAAAAATAAAATAAAATAAAATAAAAAAGAGCAAACTTATCCGACGTCGTTTAGTAGAGCAATGAGTGGGGCACCTTTTTCTCTGTAGAAGCGGCCAAAGAAAGGCAATTTCCCGGCCAATTGTGGCCGAGGTCTTGGTCGTCATCTGCCAGGCGATGAACGAAATAGGCAAATTGGAGTTAATACTCTCTTACAATGTTAGTTATACATATATACATACATACGAGAATATGCGTGTACGAGAAATTGAAGGATTTTTTTTTTTTTTTTTACCGGAAATGCTCTGATCAGAATCTGGGTTTGCCTAAACAAAATGAATAAATCCCAAAATTAGGAAAACACCTTAGAAGAAAAAATGGAAGGAGATGGGGAAGAAAGAGATTCTTTTAAGTTTTACCGAACATGCTTGTTGCCGCCACATCGTGGTTTCTTCTTTTCCGTTTGGATTTCACTGATTCCACCTGATATTTTGCCTTCCAAATTTACCCCACTTTTTTTTTTTTTTTTTTTTTTTTCAAATATATTTTTGTTTTCGTGACTAACGCCTAAACTGCTCTTAAGCGTCAAAGGTCAACAGCAATATCGCAAACGACAGAGGAGGATAAAAACGACAGGACTAAGTTCGCAATGGAGAAAATAAAAATATCAAATGAGAAAAAAAAAAAAACGCATAAGTAAACGAGAACAAAACATAATTTCACTTTTATTTTTCATACTGATAACAATCTCGTAGAAAAAACAAGCAAAAACATTTTGAAACACAGTCGCAACAATCTCAAAAAAAAAAAAAAAAAAAAAAAAAAAAAAACAAAAAAAAAAAAAAAAAAAAAAAAGAAGATAACAACAACAAAAAAAAAATTTTAAAAATGGTTCCAAAACAATTCTTATAGAATTCTTGTTTTCATTTTTTATATCCAAAACAAAATCATAACAAATAAAACAACATCATACGACTTTTACTTCAGCAAACCACGGCGAACTTATAAAATGCCAACAAAATGTCGTTTGTAAGACATTAGTTTTTTTTTTTTTTTGATAGTTGATATGAAGATTAGGCTTTTTGATAATTGATTATGAAGATTAGGTTGTCACTTTAAATTGAGACATATCTCTCGCGTTCGCGTTCCAAAGGTTTGTTGTCGTCAAAATTATGAAAAAAAAAAATCCTTTATAGCGCATCAAGTTTATTGCCATTTATTCAAATAAATATATCTCTCGTTACTAAAAATAAGTCTGTCACTGATGTTTTATTTTTCTTTCACTGTTTACGTTATGACTTTTACTCTTATGCCTTCTCTGTAAGGGACGTTTAGAATGAGGATTCGTGCCATGATTTGAATTATGGTTCGTGACTCGTTACAGTATTTTCTCTCACAAAAAATACATGTAAAACGAGAATAGTTCTGAATCGTAGTTCTGAATTCATGAACCAAACGACGATACTCTTACTAGTGGTGACATATCGACAAATGTCATTATTAAGCTGATCATCAGATTGTGAAATTTTTTTAGGCGATGTTTATAAGAAGATTATAAATTTTATCTCCTAAAGTATTTAACTTACCAAAAGTACATATTTTAAAAAATTTCACCTCTTAACTAGTTATAATCTAAAAAATAAAAATATATAGATTAATATTAAGAGATAAAAATAAAAATAAAAACTCTATTTTAAAAAGTATTTTTAAAAATTTCTGAACATGGCCTCTTAAAAAGAGCCACAATCGGCCCACACATGCACAGGTAGCTTGGTCACTTTACCCGTTGTTGAAACAAAAACCGGAGACATATCGGATCAGCCCACACATGCACAAGTAGCTTGACCGCTTTACCCGTGGTTGAAACAAAAGCCGGAGACATATCGGTCTTCTTTTAGCAATTTGCTTATTTTTGTTTTCTGTCAAACGACATCACATATATATCAGTAAACGACGTGTTTCCGTGATTCTAATAAAAAGAAACGGCACGTCGTTTTAAAGCACGCTTTTGTTATTAATGACTTGTCGTTTACTATGTCGTCCATTCAACTTTGCACCTGATGTGACAGCAGCGATGTCAGATTGCACATCCGCAGTATATAATATTAATATTTCTTCCCTTTTTGCCTACTATTTTCAATTTTTTAAAAACTTTCATAAAATTCTCCTCTCTTTCCCACTACGGAGAAAAAGCTTACATAGCACGCATCTCACACAGTCCTACGATCCAGCCAAAAGACGCCAATAGGACCCACCATCATCTTCAATAAAAACAAAAGCGGTCTAACTTAATCCAACGAGCGACGCCGATTAAATTACCAAGGAGTACGTCTATAGTTCTTGTTCCACCTGATCCTCGCAATTCAAATGTCTCCCGCGCAATTTGAATTCCACTCCATTCCCAAAATTCCCACCAGTCTCCATTCTACTTTTAAACCTTAGGGAGGGAGGGAGAGAGAGAGAGAGAGAGAGAGAGAGAGAGAGAGAGAGAGAGAGAGCGAGAGAGAGAGAGAGAGGAAGGACCCTAAAGGCGAGAAGGAAAGGAAGGAGAGAGAGCAGAAGCAAAATGAAAGGGACGCTCGTGAGCCACTTGCAGGTTCAGCTCGGCCAAAATCTCCAATTGTCGTCGTCGTCGTCGAATCCCTCTTCCTTCCAGAAACTTCTAGATTCCGAGGCCTCAGGACCTCCTCTTCCCTCCTCCTCGCCGCGGGCCGCCGACATCGATTCCACTTTCGACGATAAAGATTTCATTCTTAGCCAAGACTTCTTCTGGTACGCATATTCTCTCTCTCTCTCTCTCTCTCTCTCTCTCAATATTTTATTCCGATTTGATCAATTTTGTAATATGATTAATTTCGCGATACCTTTCTTTCAATCGCTTTTGAGCATCTAATAGAAATCTGCAAATATCAATCTTGTGTAGAATTTGCCCCGATATTGCATTCTGCATAGTAGTTCTTTGGGTTTTGTTAGTGACCGGTAGCTAGGCTGTTTATTGATGCATTTTATTTCGAATTTGAAGTATTTAAGATTTAAATGACAATTTATGGGGATTTGTTCTGATTTTTGTTTCTGGGTTTCTGACTTTTGTGGTAAATGTAGCACACCGGATTATATCACCCCAGATAATCAAAATTTATTCATGGGTTTTGATTGCAACGAGGTAATATGTGAATTTTGAATGGATGTTCTCTATGGTGTTTTTTAAACTGAGTATTAAATGTTGACGGATTTTCTTCCCTATGTTTCTATTAGGAAAACATGCCCTGCCCCAAATCACCGGAGAAGCCGACGACAATAAGAAGTAAGAGATGTCGGCAAGGTAAATACCATTCCTGAATTGAGCTTGATGAAGACTATGGGAATTGATAGCATTTGGGTGTTAAGTCTTCTCAAAGAATGGTCTTGTTTAGTCTAAGTAGAAAACCATATCTTTATGAGCAAATGGGAACTTTCGGATATTGGTGTCAAGTCGAGCTTTTTTTTAGTTTGTACGAACTACGAAGCTAGAATATTAATCATTCTGTTCTGCAATACATGTTGCAACTTGCAACTGACTAGCAGAAGAGATCGAAATGTAATAATTCTAAATCCTCCCTTAGGAAACAGGTGATATTCCCGCTCACTTGCTATTTGTGTTAACAAATTATAACTGAGAGGAAGACGGGCAATGTTCTTACTTTTAGATTTCCCTTGTTTTCCATCAGCTGTTTCCTTTTTGGCATTATGTATACAAGGATACATCACGTGCACGTCTAGTACATCCCTTTTTTTTATGGATAATACTAAATTTTGTGCAGATGTTTTCTCATCAAATCCAGTTAGTCCCACCTTGTCCGGCATTCAAGAAAGGATGGAATCTGAAAAAGATGATTACATTATAGAGGAAATAAAGACAGAGAAAATTACAGGAACTGGAACAAAAAGGGTTCAAAACTATGTATCTCAATCTGCAGTTGCTTTACGTTGTCGTGCTATGCCTCCTCCTTGTATTAAGAACCCATATATAAAGGATGCTTCAGGAATGGACATGGATCCTTTTGGCAATCAGAGATCAAAATGTGCAGGTATGGCTGTGGATAGTATCTTAATGGCTACTATCCCAGCTTAAAGTATTGATATATCCCATTACTTTAATGGCCTCACTAGATTGGGACATTGATGCTATTTGAGGACCTGCATTTCTTCTATTTTGTTTTGATAATTATGCTGCAATCTGCAGATTTCCTTCCTGCAATCATTGGTGGCAGTGGCCTTTCCCGCTATCACACTGATTTCCATGAGATTGAGGTATCTACCCAAATCCTCAATAATTTCTGGACTTTAGCTGATACATAACCATTAATTAGCATGCTGGTTAAGCTAATAAACTTTCCCTTCCGTTTTCAGTACATTGGTAGTGGGAACTTCAGTCGTGTATTCAAAGTCTTGAAGAGAATTGATGGGTGTTTGTATGCTGTGAAACATAGCATAAAGCAGTTGCATCAGGACAGAGAAAGGTTGTTTCCTTATGCTTTTGGATATATCCATCATCGGGATCATATTTTCTAATGCAATAAAGTTTTCTCACTTTTGTAGGAGGAAGGCTCTGATGGAAGTTCAATGTTTGGCAGCTTTAGGTTTGATATATGTTTTTGATTACTTGTGGACATTATTTACGTGCTTGATGCAGTTGCAATCTCTTTTAATTGTTGCTGCTTTCTTCCCTCATGCAGGGTCTCATGAAAACATTGTTGGGTATCACTCTTCTTGGTTTGAGAATGAGCAGCTATACATTCAGATGGAGCTCTGCGATCACGGCTTATCCATTAATGGATCTACGCATCTATCCTCAGAGTCAGAGAGAGAAGTTTTGGAAGCTCTGTATCAGGTTAACATTCTTCTTTGGTGTGCTATTTCTATTGATCTTAACACATTGGATTGACAAAATTTCTCCTCCCGATAGTATATATCGTTTCTGATATATGTTTTATACAGATTGCAAAGGCGTTGAAGTTTATACATGAGAAAGGAGTAGCTCATTTGGATGTAAAACCTGATAACATATATATCAAAAATGGGGTTTACAAGCTTGGGGATTTCGGATGTGCAACTCTTATCGATATGAGCCTCCCGATTGAAGAGGGTGATGCACGTTATATGCCTCAGGAAATCCTAAATGAGAGATATGATCATCTTGACAAGGTTGATATTTTCTCTTTAGGAGTTGCTATTTATGAGCTAATAAGAGGGTCATCTTTGCCAGAATCAGGACCTCAACTTTTAAATGTCAAGGAGGGAAAATTGCCGCTCCTCCCAGGTCGTTCATTGCAATTCCAAAACTTACTCAAGGTACCATGCTATTTCTTGTATTGATGGTCTTTGAGTGTTTCTTTAAGAAAATTTGCCTTCTCATTCTTATCTTACGAGTGACAACGTAGAAAATATCTTTGAAGCAATTTATTTTCTCATTCTCAGTTACTTAATCATATTGTCTTGCGCACTGCACATACATGTAGTCTACTTTATGAGAGTTTTTGAACATCTCTACTCACAATATTTTGTTTTGTCACCTTTTCAACATTCTTGTTCCAAATCTGGCAATGTGAACAGAAAATGCTGTCTTTTGATTAAAAATTTCAAACTCTCGACTCTATTGAGATGTAGGAGATGAGCTTGTTATTTTCCTTTGACAAGTTACAGCATGCTAAAAATGCTATACTGTCATTTTCATTCCACAAACTGATATAGTTTATGGTCATACACGATATAAATAGTAAGTTGCTTTCTTTGACTGCTTTACTAGACAAAAAAAGCGTTGTCTTTCGGAGAAGAAATACGTAATTAAGTAGCTTGATGGTTCTAAAACTCTGCATATTAGTTTAGTTAGTTGTTGTCATTTGGCAGTTTGCTGAAAGTATACAAGTCATATTATCATATTGCAGGTCTCTACGTTATGTTGCTGAATAATGCTGCTTCGTGAAGATTATTGTTTTTACTATTCAGATTCATTCAAGGAAATTGGTTTTGACTACTATACCTCATAAGACACAGGCCAATTATTTCTAACCGTTCATTAAATCTATCAGGCCATGGTGGACCCAGATCCAGTTAGACGGCCTTCAGCTAAAGATTTGGTGGAAAACCCAATATTGGGCAGGGTTCTTAGAAACGCTAGAACCTAAAGAAATCATGACAGATAGCCCTTTAGATAACCCTGGAATTTTGTATATGCTGCCACCGACAGTCAACGTATAAGAATGGCCAAACTTTTGAACATGCACCATTATTTTCTACAAGCGTGCTTAGAATGGTGCAAATTTTCCAAATATGTAGCAATCTCGGAAGTACTATATCCTAGACTAGAGGTATGTAGTGTTTTTGTGGAATTACCTTGCAAGGTGACATTTTATTTTCTTATTTTAACTTAAAATCTAAAATTTGTTGAAAACTTGCTAGCTAATCTAAATTCATGTTTATAAGACAACATTGTCCATTTTTATGGTAGGTGAGCAGCGGCGAGGCATGTTGTGGATCGCTTTTCTCTCTCCACCACTTGCATTACCAGAGGTACCCCTGGCTAAATGTCAATTTTAATAGTGTGATATCATTTTGTGTACAATCTATATATATAATGAACAAAATTCCCACTCTTTGAAGGGTTTCTGCCATTAGATTTGAGTACTTAATTTAAAATTGCAAGATGGATAACTCTTTATTTCTCAAATCTAGTAAGTACTAGTATATAAAATCTTAGAAAAGGGAAAAAAAGAAAAAGAAAAAGCTTCAAAACCTCCCACAACGTGGCTGCCGAGTTCTCTAGAGTATACTAACTAATAGCTATATTTAACTGTTAGACATACATAATCAAATTGACTTCCATTATTTTAAAATTCCAGTGTTTACTAATGTAATTTTAATATGAGATAAAAACTTTTTTTCATGTTTATCATATTTAGTGCAATTATTTGTAATGCTAAAAAAAAAAATACAAGGCGTGATAGCTTATTTAAGAATTACCATATATTGAATTATATAAACCAATCAAATAATGGGAGGATGTACTGAAAGCTATTCTTTGTATTTATTTTTTATTTTTATTTTTTAAGCTATTGAAAGCAATAATAGTTAATAGTCAAGAAAAAATGCCTCGTCGACTTCATGGCAACGTATTTCTTGTCCCCGTGCATATAGAAGTGGGCTCTTAACGCCATCTATTAAGGGCTCGTTCACTTCACTGATTTGAGTTTGTAATTCGAATTGAGATGTGATTTTGTGTGAGAATTTTTTATTGTAGCAAAACTCGAATTTTAAACTCGAATCGGCGAAATGAACGGAACCTAAGATTAACCTAATCCCAAAATCCGAACTTTTTATTTGCTCAAATAATAACAGTAAGTCAAGAATCTGTACCACCTTTTCTTTTCAATATATATATATATATATATATATTCCGTTGTTGAGTATTTGTTGTATATGACTAAATTGTTTAAGACGGCATGCTGATGATTTTGTCTTGGAGTGGGAATATTCTGGTATACACATTTTTATATGCTCTTTCTGTGACAAGGTATAGACAGTTTGGTTCGAACTGCATAACGCGGTCTTTGCGCGTATTCCAATCCCTTTTCCAATTTTTTAGTTAGCAAGATACCATTACTGCATGAATGAGAATTTTAAATTAATTAAATATATATGGGCAGAATATGGAGAAAATTGCTGAACATGAGTCTGAATTTTATCTTTTACTCTTGATTAACTATTTTAATTAGTATAGTTATTTGATTAAAAAGAATATTAATTAAACGTAAATGATAAAAATTTAGATCTATGCAATTTAAAAGATATTTAACTTCTTTCTCTTTAAATATGTCTAATCACAGCTTGAAGCTTAATTTGTTTATGAAATTCCAATAATTGCTAAGAAATCTAAAGGGAAGTCATTGTTTATAGTTATTATGTTCTGTGTTCCATACCTTATGCTTGGCGCATGTGAACCGGCAGTTGAAACAATGTTCTTTTTGGTATAATCGAAAGGAAAAAGGCTAAAATGTTGTCGTATTTAATCGAACATTATTGAGCTAATGTCAAAGGTTGATGTATCAGTGTAGTTTGTCACCAACCCCAAGACCAGGACGAGATAATGGCTAAAGTTGTGAGAGGAAGATAATGGGTGTGTTTCGAACTCGTTTTAAAATAATTTTATTTTTTTATATGAAAATGAAAATGAAAACGTTTTCAATTTTAGACAGAAATCATTTTTAAAAATGCAGTTGGTAGTTTTATCAAGAGATTGTTTTCAATATAAAAAAACTCATTAATGTTTCTTTCTCTTTTTGTTTGAAAAAGGAGAAAATGAAAATAAAAAATAATAAATGATTAAAAATCATTTTTTATTTTTTTCTTAACTAAAAAATTATTTTCATTTTTGTTTTTTGTCTTTATTGTGTTAAAATAAAAACAAAATCAATTCTAAACCCAGCCAATATTTGTTAAATAAAATAATTGTTCAGTTGGATTAAACAAATAGGTGAAAAAACAAGAGAAGTTATGCAAGTTTGATTAAACTAATAAGAGGACTTTGTGTAGGCGCCTACTTATAAAAGACAACAGAACTGTTTAAAAGCGATAAGTAAATCAAAACCCAGAAGTTATTTTCAAGTGAAGATACAGGAGAGGTCAATTCTATTTCCCTTTCGTCTTTGGACCCCTTAGAAAACGACATTGATATGACATAATGCAGAAATAATGCAGAACAGCCGTATATAAGAAAACGTTCAAATTTGCTTCAAATTTTGCTTCGGACATCCTGATGCACTACATAATTAGGAGCCGATGAGATGACTCATTGATTCATTAAATTAAAGTACCGTAAATATGAGTTACTTTTAAGACTAGAAAACATTTTTTTAATATAATAACCCTATTCTTGGTTTTTGAATTTTGATATATAGTTCACGTTGAATGACGTTTAAAAACAATCTTATTTGTCGAAATTTTTGTAGATTTTACCAAGTACCCGTCAACAACATTTTTTTTAATAAAAAGTTAACAATTTTTCTCAACGCTTCAAAAAAAAAAAAATATATATATATATATATAATACTTTCATTTTCAAATAGCTGAAATTATAAATACATATATACACACGCGCGCATAGTTCTACCAATCACCTTACTCAAATAGATGACTAAAATTGGAATACTCTTCAAATGTCCATAGTTATGCATAAGATTTAATCATCACTATGATTCAATGATATGATTGTAGGCAAATTAAGGGTCCAAGCTTATGACGATTCACGCTCCGAAACTAACTAAAGATATATACGAATTTTAGATTCATTGAACCTTTTTGTAGTCCTCAATTTATTCAACAAGTTTACTACGTGACAAAAGCTAGCTCCCTTGAATTTGGACTTGTAACCTCTTTTGGTTAGAGCTAAGAACTTTTGTTTTTTGTTTTTGCTCTTTTTTTTTTTTTTTAATTAAAGGAAACCATTCTTGGCAACTGCAAGGTGGAATGTATTTCTCCGTCTATTGTTTGATCTATTTTATTTATCAAAGCAGCTAATTCTTTTTCCTCCATTATTTCGCAAAAAAAAAAAAAAAAAAAAAAGAAAAAAAGAAAAACAAAGAAAGTCAAACAGTTGGAGCCTTCCCGTGATAGTGCTAAGGCTTTTGCACACATGTCACACGTGATGATCACTAACCCACACGTGACGTTCATCACCCTCGAAGAAACCTCGGCCAAATGAAATGAATATAAAAGGGACAAAACTGTGCTAAAACTCTCGTGCATTCGGGTCCACGACAAATACTAGACAACTGCAATTGTTGATAGCCACGTATCGACAATTCAGATTGTGCGTTTCATTTGTCTCTTCTGCCGCATTTCTATGCTTTCGTCATCAACTGTCAATCAAAAAAACCGGGTGTAGCTGAAAATACACGCGATCTCCTGTACGATGTATTTAAAATTAGGATTTCGTACGTAGGTGCACGAGATGTTGACTCCTAAATGTTGATGATAAAATGGAGAATTTCTATGGTAGAAAACTTTCATTTCCATTATTTTTAACCTGAACACTCATAAATTCGTTAAAAAATTAATTTAATAATTATAATTATTAATTAATCTAACAATTAAAATAATAATTATATGAGTAACAAAAAAATAGTTCCTATCATAAAATTTCCTTAAGATTTTAAAAAATCACGTAAGTATGTAAAAGAATAGAGGCGTTTCCATAAAAAAAAAAAAAAATCACGAATCCTCATATAGACGTTTTAATAAAAGGCACACCCTATAATAAGGTAGGCTCATTCTTTATGAATAGGAGATCATGGAGCCCCTTAATATTTGTGTTTGTACCTGTAAAAACCCTAAAAGAAGACTGGATTTTGAATTTTGATTATATCAAAACCATATTGGGTTAACAAAAATATAGGAGCGTAGCAAATTTTTTTTTAAAGTTAACTATGCCTTAGTGATAATTTATTTTTTATAAACAATCATGAAATTCTTCTATTATTTTTAAAGTCAGCATGATTTTTTTTTTTTCGAGTAACATACAATTCATTTAATTTAATATAAGAGTGCCAGTTTTATTGATAAGACAAATTGGGTAAGTCCTATTAAGATAAATATAGCATGTAAATTTACTTCATGGAGAATTATTTGTATGTCATATGTAAAAATCTTATCTTCCCAAAATTGTTTTAAATATAGTAGTACTACTCTTTATATTTTTTAATAATATTTTATATTTTCTAAAAAAAAGAACGTTCTTTTAAATTGAGTGGCATTACTAAACGTTTTAAGACTTTTGTATTTGGTAAATGAAGTCATAATTCATTTATTAATTAAATTTGTATATATACAATCAATAGAAACTACAAAGTATGAAAAAGCATCCCTTCCCTTCAAAAAAGAAAAAGAAAAAGAAAAAAGCATCCCTTAATGATTATTTGGAGAGATTTAGGAATAATAACAATATCGCAAATACGTAAGATAAATCCCATAATTTGAGGAGAAGCTAGTAGAGCCTTTATCAGGTAATTGGAGCAAAATCTGCAGAGCCAATTAAGGCCGTAAGAAATCACCCGACGAACCCGATCGAGTCGAGCCGACCTTATTCGAAAATCACGAATTTTTAATTTTTTATTTAATTTTTGGTTTTAATTATGCCTAACCCGCACTGCGCGGGGTGGGGTTACATGAACCCAAGGTAACCCTACCCGGCCGAACATGTTCAAAGTAGGTAAAACAATGTCCAACACTTCAAATTCTTACTTTCATAAGTTTATGGACTTTATGCATTTAAACTGTTAACTTATTTATGTTTTGGATTCACGGTTTGTGTAAAAAATACTTGTATGTCATAGTTGTTGAATTAGGACATTCTTTATTTACAATGGAAGTGTTTGATTTCAAAGTGAGTGTTTTTATTGTTCACCTTGCATTTAGACTCCCTCGGAAAGACATGTTTTGTTTGATAATGATTTCTTCTGTAACAAGCACAGATTAATTGACTAAAAAGTGATCAGTGGTCCTTGAGATCACCAACCCGAGTAACCCGACCCTACCCGAGGTCACCCGAAAGATTGCGGGTTTGTAGACTTAAGAGAGTGTCGCGGTCTAAAATTTTCTCAACCCACACTGGTCGGGTAGGCTCAAATTTTCAGCTCAACCCTACCCTACCCGGCCGATTTACACCCCAAGAGCCAATTAATCAAAGGTGGTTGCTTGAATTCAAATTTTAATTTGGATTCTCTCTAACAAAAAAAAAAAAAAAAGACAAGTGGATAATTCAACGTGGAAAGGCTACTAAAAATGAAGGTTTCTTTCCAAAAAATTGTTTGTTTTAAGGAAATTCGAAGTTAAAGTTCAGATCAAAGTGTTTTTTTTTTTTCCTTCCCTGAGTGACGCGTCAAGTAATAGTTGTTACAAGAAAAACAGTAGAGTTTAAGGGGGGAAAAACCGGCATTATAATTAAAATGCCTAGAATACAAAAGAAAAACTATAATTTCAGGAAATTAATATGACTTGCGCATTATCCAGTGGCACTACCGAAACTATAATTTCACTGATTGTGAAGTTTCTTTTGGCAGCGAAGCATACTAAAAAGAAACTATATTCTTTTAATATATTTTTTTGTTTAGGTCAAAGAATTTAAAAAAGTGGAATTAACTATTAAGCTAAACTTTTCTTTTAAAGTACTAAATAATCAAATTAATTAAGCTAGCTAACGTTGTTTGACTCGGCTCATGGTTTATATAATAGTTCTTACGTGTGTGTGGGGCCCTTTGATTGCCTTTATATTTTCCAAGTCCCAGATCACAAACGGAAGATCCCTGCCTCCGAGCTTACAGCTGCACTAAACTCTCTCTCTCTCTCTCTCTCTCTCTCTCTCTATATATATATATATATGTACATATATATATTTTCTCTCTCTGTGTACTCTACGTTGAAAGAAAATATATAGACAATACTTTGATGTTTCTTTTTGATCTTTCATTTCCTGTTTAGAACGAGGAATTACTGATAATATTACTCGTTTTTCAGTCACTTTCTTCTTCTTCTTCTTCTACCTCCTCATATATATATATATATATATATTATATTGACTCATCGATGGAAGAAATATTGCCACCGGATGAAAGTACAAGAGAAGAGTCGATAGATCAGGAAAGACAATTAGAGGAAGTTTGTCAAGAGAAGGGACTGAAAACGAGGAAGCTTTCATGGCAGAAGCTGCGAAGATACGACTCCTTGGACATCGAGTCCCGCAGTATTGGCGGTCACAATGCTTACGGCCATACTTCCAAGGCAATCTCTCTTCTCATGTTAATATTTTATGATATTTGCTATTATTATTTGTGATTTTGTTTTTATACTTCGTGTTTAATTTTACATTCGAGATCAACTTTAAAGATGATTCAAGTTTTTGCTTAAAAAAAAAAAAGACTTTTTCTTTTTAAAAATTAAAAAAAGACGACTTGCGTTTATTGGAAAATAATAAGCCTAATTGTTTCAAAAAAAAAAAAAGAAAAGAAAATAATAAGCCTAAGACTTCTTAATCTAGTGACACTGGGGTTTGGGTATCCAAAACAAAAAGAAAATAATAAAACTATATATATACATATATCATATAAATTTATTTATTTATAGTGAACACACACATATATGTTTTTGTAGTAAAATTATAAATATGCATATATGCTAATCAAACAAGCAAAACTTAATATTTAAAATTTTCATTAATTAAATTAACTCATTGATCTTTGAATCTTTGATTAAGTTCTATAAAAAGAAGTCATCTTTGATTGATGTATTCTTTCTAGATGAGATATTAATCACTATTCAGTATACATTCTAATAAGTTTGACTTCTTGGATTATTATTATTTTGAAGCGATAATATATATATATATCGTTATAGTTATTATTATTATTGTTATAAATGTTTTTTATTTTATTTTAGTAGATTAATAATTAATCTGCGCCCCAAATTGCATATATAGTTGGATTATAACTTTTTTGTTAATTAATCTGCACAGGCTACAACTGATTGGTCGGTAATTTTACATCTAGCATTCCAAAGCATTGGAATAGTTTATGGCGATATTGGCACATCACCTTTGTATGTGTATTCGAGCACTTTCACAAATGGAATCAAGCATAACGATGACATTTTGGGGGTCCTTTCTTTGATCTTTTATACAATCACTTTGATCCCTTTGCTCAAATACGTCTTCTTCGTCTTGAAAGCCAACGACAACGGTGATGGTAAGATCTTAATTATTTCATTTATTGTTGAGAATAATTATCATAACATTTCTAATATTTGTTTGTAATAATTTTCAACACAAAAGACAAAATTTTACCAATGTACTGTTTAGTTTATTTACGTTTTTAAACTGAAAATATACGGGGTCAAAGTAATATCGCCACTAACCGCCAAAATGTGAAGTCGTCTTTTTCTCGTCTCTTTGCATATCTTTATAATTATGTTCATATAACGAATTTAAGTACCTTGTCGTCATACCATAAGAATTGTTCAAACATGTTTTTATTTTTCGGCGAAAATATTCCAATTAGTATACAAACCTGAACGTGTCACATTGTAATGTTTTTCTTTCTCCATAAACAAGACCCCAAAAGAATTATCTAGTTTTTCTTCTTTTTCTTTTCCTTTCCTGCTTGATGAAAAAAAAAAAAAAAAAAAAAAACTTGAAAAACCTTTACACTTTCTACTTGGCACCAAAGCAGCCTAGCTAGGTGGCCAAACTTGAGTATAAACTTAACTGGTCAGGTGTGAAATGAGCTACAGGTTTCTCAATTTTCTAAAATGAGTCTTTTTATTTATCCTGATAGAGTTAAAACCCTGCTATTCATATAAGAGTCTCACTATATGAATAAGTGGTGGGACTCAACCTTGTGAGGCCTACTATTCTGTAAGTAATGAGATTTTAATCCCACCTATAAGACCTACTATTTTATTAGTGATAGAAAAATTCATTTTCCTTTTAAAAACATGCTAGTACACGTATATATACACACCTCGTTAGGCCTTAGTCTTCTCTATGACGTGATCAATTTCTTTTGGTAAACATGCTTGAATCATGCTATAGCAATATATATACTGTTGCAAAAATGTTAATAGTCAACAAATAAAAGTTGGCCACACTTAGCGGAAACAAAATCAAGTTTCTAATGAGCAAAATTAATCATCTACTAACATATTATGACACCATTAATTTGATTGATTTTATAAAAAAAAAAAAAAAAGCTCTATAAATTAGCTAATTTGGACGCCTTACCCCTTGACTGAAAAATTCATTCTTCTAATCACCCTCTTAATTAAGTTAAAAAAATTGTGGCACAAATAATGGTTACCTCTACTAATATGACACCATTTTGATTGATGAAAAAGGCTTTATTGGCTCATAATTTGCATGCTTTACGACTCAAGTAGCAAACTTATTCTTCTCGTCACTCTTCTTAATTAACTTAAAATTATGGTCTTATAATTTATACTATAATTGTTAATTTGGGACATGATTAATTATGTTAATTAGGAGGGACGTTTGCTTTGTACTCTCTTATATGCCGATACGCGAAGGTGGGATTGACACCAAGCGAGCAGGCTGAGGACAGAGAAGTTTCCAATTTCCAGCTGGAGTTGCCCAACAACCGTTTAAAGAGAGCTTCAAGGCTTAAGTCTAAGCTTGAGAATAGCAAGTCTGCCAAGTACTTCTTGTTGTTCGCCACTATGCTTGGAACTTCCATGGTTATTGGTGATGGGGTCCTCACTCCTTGCATCTCGGGTAACTAATGATATTATGTTACATCATTCAAACTCATTTAATTGATTATATGATGTGGTCTAATAAAAAAATGTTAGACACCATTTGGAGCATAAAAGATTTGACAGGTGAACTGAATAGTTCTCTTATTATTATATACATATATATGTAATATTATAGTTTTGGAGATTGACTTGTGATATTTATCCAAAATTAGATTAATTAATTAATGCATTTTTTATGGCAGTTCTGTCGGCTGTTGGAGGTATTAAGGAAGCTAAATCGTCATTGACCCAAGGTATACCCCATATGTTCTCTAATTATAAGGCCAACGATTAGAAATCACCGAACGTATAACCCATCACATCACGTTATATATATATATATGTATGTATGTATATATATATCAAAAAAAAAAAAAACCCAACCTTAGAATTAGGTCCCCCAGTAATATTCCTCAAAATTAATGTTTGGGCTTCAAAAGGGCTCCACTCATACCTTGAGGCTAGGGCTACCAATTTAAACCATTTGATCTGGTCCAAAGCCCAGCTCTTTGGCTCGAGCCAGGCTTTGCCTGGGATGGCCAGCCCATATAATGACACGGTTGGCCCGGTAGGCCGATTAGACCGTTTATTTATTTTTGAAAGAAAGAGGGAAATAGACCAAAACTTGAGATGAATTAAAATTAATAGGCTAATAGTTTACATAAGTTAATACATAGGTCAAATTACTATTTTTATCCATAACTTGTCTGGCTATAAACCATAACTTGACAAGTTTGTCATTAACTTTTCTAGTTATGAACCATAACTTGACAAGTTATGGCGTATTAATTTCTATAATAAAAAATTGGCCTGTATACTTTATTAAGCTTTTCATATTAGCCTATTTCCGTTTATTTTTTTTCAATTGACCACCATATAAATTTTGGGTGGCCTTTCCTGACCTCGACCCGCCAAACTTCCAAGCCAGCCCAAAAAAACAGCCCGTTTCAATTTTACCATTCGGGCTATTGCGCTTGGCCGAGGGACCTAAAAATCCGTTTATTTTACCGATTCGAGTTTTATTACAGTAAAAAACTCTCAGAAACAATCACATCTAATTTTTTTACTGCAGTAAAAATTCTCACATAAAGTAACATCTCAACTCGAATCGATAAACTAAACAGGCACTAAATTTACACCTTCAACTGGGACATCCGCAACATTGAAGACCGCTCCTGTGTTTATGCAGAGCCTTTTAGAGCTACACATAGTAAATATCGAGATATTAGTCATCCGAGAGTGACCCTCGGTATCCAAAATTTATATATATATATATATATATATATATATATATATACACACGTA